GCTGTGCAGAAGGAAACGCGCCGCGTGGGGAGCATTTAAGAATATCGAGGGAGTAGTGAAGAAGACAAAGAACATCCGGCTCCGCGCTCACCTTTTCGACACTGCTGTCCTTCCTGCTTTGACGTACGCCTCGGAGACCTGGACTCTACGAAAGCAGGATGAGCATGCTGTCAGCGTTATTCAACGCGCTTTGGAAAGGACGATGCTCGGAATTTCCCTATACACGCAAGTGCAGAAGGGAATCCGGAGTTCCGAGCTCCGTCACCGAACGAAGATCAGGGATGCCGTTGATTACGCCAAGAAATCGAAGATCAGGTGGGCCGGACACGTTATGCGATGTAGTGATGACCGTTGGACCAGGGCGGTTACTGACTGGATCCCTCGGGACATCAAACGAACTCCAGGAAGGCCGCCAACGAGATGGTCAGACTTCTTCACGAAAGCTCTGAACGAAAGGAATGTTGAACCTCGTGTCCCTGAAGCGAGAACGATTCACTGGACCACTCTGGCTCGTGACAGGGACGAATGGAGACGTTACTGACGCCGCTCGAGGAAATCGATGATCAACGGGACGACAGGTGATACAGGTGATACAGGTGATATATATATACATATAAATAAATAAACATGTCGAAATCCTGGTCGTGAAGTTGTCGTGGAGCTCACGAAGCATTGTTATGTACTGAGTAGGAGCACCCTGGTCCCCAGGTCTTAAATTACGGCTGCTGTCTCGACAGTACCAAATACCTTCTTCAAATCGATACACGTCAGGCATAACGGCATCCTGTCTCCCGCAAAACTTCATAAGTCTTGTAACAGTAAGGATATGATATCGAACCCCCTTCACCAACGGTTCGCATGGCTGTCCTTCACCTTATATTCAGCTAACCCTGTTGAGGATGACGAAAGTGAAAATAAATTCAGATTACAGAAAGCATGCATATCGGGAGTTGCAATCAATCAATATTTGCAACATCGTCAAGATCTCCCTTCTTAAACAGCAATACAGTCCCGCTAGTTTTCCACGACGTGAACCCTTGCACTAGGATAGGTACTGGTGAAGAGCCTAGCCAGAGTTCTGACGATGACGGATAGAACTCTTCAGATGTTCTGGTTTGATCCTGTCGGGAACGGGCACCGTACAATACTTCATCGACGTGATGGCATGTCGAATGTTGGAGGGGAGAACCGAAGGAGATATTCGTCTCGCCTGAAGTGGTGGGTGGGCAAGTAGACGTAGCTGTCGAAGAGATCAGAGTAGAAGTCGTAGGTGACCTCCATTGCCCTTCGGGATGCAGTGACTGTTCCGTCAGGACGACGGAAGGAAGTCATATTGGTCTTGCATTAGCGAAGCATCGTCGGGATTTGCGCATTCTCTCTGTGTTTCGCCGATCGTCCACATTTACTGCTCTTCTCTCTTCCAGATCTCTAATTTATCGCTATTATCGATTTTATGGCCTTTATCGCTTCTTTGCATGGCTTCGCAAATATGAACATTTGTAATGATCGCCTGTAGCTCGCGCGATTCTACGCTGGCGTATCAACTTGTCTTCAGAGAGAGACGTTCCTAGACTAATTGTAAATGTTCTGCTTTCCTGGCACTATCGTGGAAATGTTCGATGAGCCGGTTGCATTCTTCAATGACGTCGACGGAATAACGGAATCTTCCCAGATACTCGCAAGAGGAGCAAAGTGGTCCCAGTTCATGGAGGTCTTCGGACTACGTTTCTTAACTTCACAGCTCTCTCTCCACGCACTGAGACACAGAATTTAGCGCGGAGGAGATACCGTGTAGAACTTTTGAACAACAGCGACGTCAGCGAGGCCAATTTTCCGAATAAAGATGATGTGATCTATGTCATAACGCAACTGTCCAGCAGGTGACTCCCATGTCCATCATAACTGAGAGGGCCTCTGTACTGTCAGTTACCATGGATAGGGTGAGTAGACTCGGTGCAGCCTTTCGCTGTGCCTATTACACTCAGTTCCGTCCTGATATGTAGCTCTTTAACCGTTTTTCGAGGGAAATTTTGACGCTAAAATCATCTGATTATAAAGAAAGCGTGGTCCTTTCTGAATAGCCTTTCCAGGTCCATAGAAAACGCTTACAGCTACTCATCTTCGTAACTTGATGTTGGCATGTAGGTGACGAAGTTTGTTAGAGCTGGAGCTGGGTCACATCTCTTTCAAGGCCAACGTCTGATTCGGGTTGTCAAGCTTTCGTACGAATCGAAGCACATGGTCAAGTGAGGACACCTAATCCTCTGTAATCGCATGTTCCAAGGAACAGTTCTTCTCCAGTCTCGAATACATGACGCCTACGATGTAAGCGTTCATGCCAACCCAGCGCTGCCGTATTGGGGCTCCCTCGGGGAAACAGGACCAATTAGAGTTCTTAGCACATGTGTATCCACTTGCCAGGCTACAACGAAGGGGCTGGATTGACTCCAGGTAATTGGACAAGCTCTACCATAGCATAAGAGGGTTGAACCGCTTTTCAAATAATCGCCTCTGCCAGTCGCTTAAACTCAAGGTTTTGGCAGAGTCAATGGACAGGATACCAAATGCACCCGCAGATTCTACTGACTTATGTCCGTGGATACACTTGCGAGACACTGAAGGTATACCGACTCAGCACAGCAGAAACAGGGAGTCTGTCTTTTGAATCCACCTCCGTTCCTGGGCGAATTTTGGTCGGCGATTTACTCCCCTATCCGCCACCTGAGGACGTCCTGAGTAGCCTTGACGCTAATCGGTTGGGATCATTCACTGAGAGGAAACCTCTATGAAGGAGAACCGTAGATTTTGCCGTTCTATAAGGATGTCAGTGGTAGCGTGGGAAGGGGTCCGGCAGGGCGATACCATTTTGCTAAAGCTTCTCAGTGCTGTCCTGGAGAACATCAAGCGTCATTTGAAATGGGATGACTTGGGAGCACAGGTCGGCGGCCGCTATTTACATCGCCTCCGCGCGGCAGACGATATCGTGCTTTTAACACAGAACATACAATAAGTGGAACGAATGCTGGCCGAGCCGAGTGGCCGAGTGCTCGTATAATGATCGGCTTGAGACTGAACTCAACGGAGACGATGTTCATGAAAAACGGATTGAGGCATGATGCTCCCTTTACGCTCAGTGAAACGAATACCTCTGAATGTTCTAACTACGTGGCTAGGTCGAAAAGTCAACATGATGAACAACCTTGTTTCGAAGCTGCTAAGCGGAAGCGGCTGCGTGAGAATTTGAGAATATCGAGGGAGCAGCGAATAAGACAGAAAAAAATACTGGCTCCGCACTCATCTTTTCGACGCTGCTGTTCTTCCTACCTTGACGTGCGCCTCGGAGATCTGAGCTTTACGAAAGCAAGTTGTGTAAGCGCTTGAGGAAATCCAGAGATTCAAGCTCCCGGATTTTGAATGAACGAAGATCAAGGGTGCCGTTGCACGCTAAAAATTCGAAGATCATGTGGGCCGGACACCGTTGGACTAAGGCGGTTACTGACTGGTTGCCTTGGCAAGTAAAACGAACGCCAGGGCAGACGGAGGAAATGTTGTGCCTCGCGTCCCTCAAGCAAGGACGACTCACTTGACCACTCTGGCACACGACAGGGACGAATGGAAACCTTACTGAAGCCCGCTCGAAGAAATTGATAATCAATGTGACGACAGGTGCTACAGGTAATCTCTCATTTATAAAGTAGTAGCTTGGTGTGTCGGTTTGTCGGTTTGTTTGTTCGTCGCTTTGTGTGTCTGTCCGTCAGTGTATGCTCCGCAGACTGGATGCTCGAGCAAATCAAGGATAAGTTCTGGAATCTGCTCGATGAAAAGACAGCTGAAGTACTGTTACAAGAAGCCATAGTTGTCGCGGGTAACCTCAACGGTCACAAGGACGTAGCTGCCATGGGAGGCTTTGGATATTGGTCACTTAACACTAATGGCGAGCGAATTCTCGAATATGCAGATTCGCATAATCTCGCCATTATTAACACGAGATTTCGCAAACGTGACTCTCATCTCATCACCTTCTAAAGCGGTAAGAACAGAACACAAATTGATTTTGTCCTTTCCGGCACCGCGATCAGGGGCTCGTAACAGACGCGAAGACAGTTCCCTGTGAAACGATCGCAACACAACGCCGACCACTGATTTGCACGTTAAAGATCACCCCGGCGATACCAAAATTAGCAGAAAGGTGTGGGCCGGGAGAATCAAGTGGTGGAGCTGAAGGAGAAAAAAGCGGCTGTCGTTTCCAGTGTTCTATTGCTAGCTATGGCGACTGTCGACGAAACTTGGAAGGAAGCTGCGGAAGCGATAACCCGGGTTGCGCGGTCAAAGCTCGGCATGACCAAGCCTGGACGGCTAAAGCTCGATAAGCAAACACGGCTGTGGACGGAGCATGTCAGGGATAAAGGCCGTGAGAAGAAAAAGCAGCACCACGCATTTCTTATCGAGAAGAGCTGACAACTGGCAATGCTATCAGTTAGCGAAGAAAGAGGTGAAGAAGGCCGTTGCTCTTGAGAAAGCAGCTCATTACGCCAATCTCAATAGGAAACTCGAGTCTCATGATGAGAAGCGGTTCGTTTACCGACTCGCGAAGACCCGCAACCGCCAGAACGAGGATATAGAAAAGGGTCACCTCTTGACTGACCGCAGGCAAACACTGAAACGATGGCAAGAGTACTTCGCAAACATCTCAACAGTCGAATTCGCTCATGCCGCCATCCCCTCGCTCCGGTTCACGGTCGCATTCATAAGATGAGACCGTGTACCGCGAGTGAGACCGTCACGGCTTTGAAGAAGATGAAATCAGGCTAAGCAACTGGTCCTGACTACTCAGCGGTGGACTTGTGGAAATCGGAAGGCAGGGATCCTGCAGGATGGTTGACGAAATTCTTCAACCAAGTCGTTGCAGGCAAGGTGCCTGAGAGCTGGCAACAAAGCATGACGCCTATCTGGAAGAAGGGCAGTCCTGGGGACTGCACTTGCTACCGTCCAAGTCGCTTGCTCTCGCACAGCATTAAAATCCTTGAGCGAATTGTAGACAGCCGTATCTGTGATATCGTCGAACTATCCACTAACCAGCGTGGTTTCGTGGCTGGCTGTAACCCATCGATGCCATACACGCCACTCGCCTTTTCTTAGGAAAGCATCGCGAGAAACGAAGGTCGCTACATCTTGCCTTTCTAGACTTGGAGAAGGCTTTCGATCGCGTTCCGCGTGACGTTGTGTGGTAAAGTCGGATCGCCCGGCTAACACCGCGCTTTCCTCCTTTTTGTGCTAAGGTTGATTCGCCGTCTGCACTCTCCCAAGTTTCAAAAATCTGTTTCAAGAAAACAGTAGCTATTGATCTCCAGCGAAACCACATTCCGACAATTCGTGCCTCGGGTTCATTCCTTCACATACCAACTTGACTGCTGATTCCATTTTAGCTACCATCTGCTACCTACAACGGTGTCTTGAAGCTACCGCCAGCATTCGTTCCAAATTTGAACGCCCAGGCTCGAAATTAGCAACATTCGCATGCGTCCCGCCTTTTGGCAGTCATGCCACCTCCCATAAGCAATCCCATCTGCCATCTTTGTTCTTAGAAAATTTGAATGCCAATTTTCAAGCACGCCCCGCCTATAGTCGAGAGTTGTCATCTACCATTAGTGTTCCCACCCTGCAAATCCTGTATCTAAACCCCTAATAAATTTGAACACGCTACATGCACTGTGACAGTAGTTATGAATTTTCGCTGAAACTCCGCACCCATTATGGGAAGAGTCCGGTCGTGCTCCCTGACATAAACGTTCTCATTCAGCCGAGTGTACTCCTACCAAATTTAAGCGCCCTAGGTGCACTGGAACAGTAAATGTGAATTTTTGCTGAAGCTCCGCTCATTGTGGGCGGAGTCTGCTCCTCCTAATAACAATAATTTTTACCATTCTGAAGTCTGCACTCATACCAAATTTGACGCTCTAGGTGCACAGAAACAGGTGTCGTGAGCTTCAGCACAAACCCCGCCCACTTCGGGCGGGGTCCGATCTAGCTACCCACCACAAGTGTTCCAATCTTGCCATCTGTAAACCTACCAAATTTGAACACTCTAGAGGCAACAGAGACAGTAGTTGTGAATTTTTTCTCAAACCCTGCCCACTGTGGGTAGAGTCTGATCCTATCACCTACCATGAGTGTTCTAATCCTGCCACCCGTACTCCTACCAAGTTTGAAGGCTCTAGGATCACGAGGACAGAAGTTTTGAATTTTCGCTCAAACATTTATTTCTCACAAACCCCGCCCCCTTTGGGCGGAGTCACCTGTTTGAAGTGTTCCCATCTTGCCGCCATGCTCCTACCAAGTTTGAGCGCTTCAGGTCTACGGGGACAGAAATAATGAATTTCCGGTCAGGCACACACACACACACCAACACACCAACAGACATGTTTAGCCGATTATATAAGCAGGATAAGGGTTCTAAACCTGCCGCCCGTACTCCTACCAAGTTTGAAGGCTCTAGGATCACGGGATCAGGAGTTATAAATTTGCGATTGAAAGTTTGTATCGCGTACGCTCCGCCCCTTTAGTAGGAGTCTGGCCCTGCTACCTGCCATGAGTGCTCCCATCCTGCCTCCTGTACTCCTACCAAATTTGAGCTTTCTAGGACACGGGAACAGGACTTATGAATTCCCGGTCAAACACACACACATACAGACGCACACACACACACAAACATACAAACACCCACAAACTAACAGACACACAGTGAATTATACATTGTATGATATTTTTTATACATAAAAGACCCGGCGTCAGCCGGGCGATCTGACTGGGATCGCGATACATGGTAAGCATGTTTGGTCAGTGCATTATCATGACGGGAACCTAATCAAAACCTCACTTTATCAGTCGAGCGGTATCTGAATCGTCTCACAAGCTCGCTAAGAAATCACACCGATATAAAACTGCAGTCATTAACTCTTCAATCATTGAATCCTATAGATAGCGTTCAAGACTAGTTCAATTCTTATTATTTAATGCACAAATATAAAATTAGGAACACTGATAACATGGCTCACGACTTACGTGGTGACCGGTGGTCGCTTCTTCAGACAGAAACGATACAGATAGACAACAGCAATGACGACAGCCAAACCACCGACCACTCCCGACACAAGTACCGTGATTGTAAACAGTGGTCGTTGTTCTTCCTTAAAACCAAAATTGTTAACTCAATCGTTAAGAGATAAGTAATGTGGCTTCACACAATCCTGCTGTTGGTGAATAACACGGACCGTACATACGATTTACCTTCACCATGAGGGTTGATCTTGCTCCCCTTGCTTGAGTCCCCCTTATCCGTTCGCCCGAGGTCGTGGTTGAATTTGTTCTCCACGCGTTAAGTTGCACACAGCAAACCCCGGTAAATTACGTCTAAATCACTGCGTTCTAGACTAAGGACAAGAACCCGCTCGAGGAATATCTGCCTACCAAGAAGGAGGCAACCTGTTGCCCTGCCATGTGCTTTTGTCTTTACCATCAGATTTCGGCGTGTATGATCCGAAAGTCCTCGCCAGCGTTTTTCTACTGTTAGATGGAAACTTTGCTTGGAGCTTTCATTACCTTTTTCAATTTACTTATACTATAAAAAATTACAAATATAACTTAACGATACGTCCACATGTCTACACGGCTAAGAGTGGGCTCCCCACGTGTTAGAGACTGACAAGCTACACGTGGATATCCATACGTCAAAAAAAGCAATGAAAATGGACCTCACTCCCCGAAGTTGAGGGAGACCACGATACGGCGGCGTTGAGGGCCACTCCGCTCGGCAGAGGCTCCTAGAATCTCAGGACCACGATAGGCCGCCTAAATGGAGGACTAGGACGACGATCTGTACTTTCAATGCACGAACACTTGCATCGGGAGCGTGCATCGAAGATCTGATGATGCAAGCCAGGAAGATCAAGTACGACGTCATCGGACTGACCGAGACGAGAAGGCACCGCCCGTTGCATGCTACCTTTGAAACCAGGGAAGAACTGTCCCTTGGAACATGCGACAGCAGAAGCTTCAGCGGTGTACGTGTCTTCGTCAAAACGCACTTGGCCATGAACATCGATTCGCACGAAAGCTTGACACCCCGAAACGGACGTTTACGATTGAGAAGATTTGGCTCAACTCCAGCTGTAACAAGCTTCGTTGTTTACGCGCCAACATCGAGCTACGACGAGGAAGAGCTGGAGGCGTTATATATGGATCTGGTGAAGCTCTACAGATAAGACCATACTCTCTTCAAGGTCATCTCGGTGATTTCAAAGCCAAGATTGACCATAGAAACAAGACTGAAAAGCTCTACACCGGGGCTCACGGAATGGAATGGAATAGGCAGGGTGAGAGGCTGTCCGAGTTCACCATGGCGACCCACACTATCTATGATAAATGGGAGTCACCTGGTGGGCAGTTCCATAACGAAATAAAACACATCATCGTCAATCGAAAGTTTTGCCTGACTGATGTCGCTGTTGTTCCGAATTCTACACGGAATCAGACCATCGTCTCCTTCGCGCTACATTCCGCTTTTCAGTGCGTGGAGCGAGAGCTGCGAAGTTCAGGAAAGGAAGCCCCAAGACTGTGGTCAATTGGGATCACTTCGCTCCATTGGCGAGCTTGGGGGAAGTTTCCGTCATCGACAACATCGATGAAGAATACAACGGGCTCGTCGAACACCTTCACGATTGCGCCAAGAAAGCTGAGAGTCTCAAAGATGTCAAGAAACTTCTCTCTTCGGAGAATCTCGAGCTGATACGCCAGCGTGGAAACGCGCGAGCTGCAGGCAATAATCTGCCAATGTCCGAACTTGCGAAGCTAGCAGAGATGCGATAAAGGAAGATCTGAAAGAGAGAAGAGCAGCAGTTATGGATGAAGCCGCCGAGGCCGGAAAAAGAATCGCAAAGCCCGACGGAGCTTCGCCAACTGCATGACCGAGATGATTTCCCTTCTCTGTGCTGACGGAACAGTTACTGCATGTTGAAGGGTAATAGAGA